CATGGGAGTTATTGTGTAAATTTCCATGATAGGGAACATATCGAAAATTATAAACATCCATTTCCAAATCCATGTCGATTTACACCATATCATTGCTCTTTGCATGAGCAATTCATATTGGAAAAAAATTCAAGATCACTTTCAGATGAAATAAATCAACATTGTTTGAATTTCGCTCACGTATGTGTATTTGGACGAAATTGCACCGATAACGATCCTCTACATTGGGAAAAATATATTCACGTGCCTCGTTCTTTGTGTTCGTATGGTGATCGATGTAAAAAACTACTTGAAGAAGATCATTTGAATTCATTTACACATCCGAATATTCGTGATATTCGGCTCCTATGTAAATATGCTGATGAATGTTGCGATCGACATAAGGCGAAACATTTGACTAAATTTCGGCATATAATTACATTAGAAGATAGTGGTATCGTGCGATATTATAATTTAAACCAAAATATTGATTTTGTTCAAAATCAAAAGGATACCGTAGAACGTGTTAGACGTTATGTACAGAAAGAAAAATGGGAACCATTACTATCAGAATCGATTCCACAAGAAATCATTAATTGGATACGTGCCGTTCGACCTGTTCATCGATGTCGACCAGAATTATTCGAATCAATTCTTCTCCATGGACATGTGATGAGTCGAGATTATATGGATCAACTGAAGGACCCAGTGTTTGTTGCTACATCTGTTTTTCAACACAGGGAACTGCATCAAATAAAATATTTAAAAGAGAAACAATGTTCAAAAGATGCAAAAGAATATATACAAGCATTAGTTATTGAAGAATTCGAGAAAGCACATCCAAAAGATCGTACCATCGCCGACACCACGAAACTGGATAAAAAATCTTACGAGGCATACAATTCGAAATCTCGGAACGAGTTGATTAAAAATAAAGAAGTTCTTCTATCGGATATACTTTCAAAAAGTGAAATGCAAATAGTTAAAACAAAAGCGATTGAAATAGCTCAAGCTTCTATTAAACTTCATGCGAATCCCGCTGGTATCGGCCATCCTCCTGACAAAGAACTAGGAACAAATCGAAATGTATTTACCATTCTTGGACCTCATTTAGGACACTACTATGGAGATGTATTCATTGTGTTTAAGCGGGAAATTCTTCATCATCCAGATGCAAACTTTTCTATTCAAGCAGCAACATCATATGCAAGTGGAAATTGCTTTAAATTGCGCCCATGGTTAGGCAGTCCATTGGCTTCCAAAGAAGAACGAATCAAGTTCTTTCACAAATCAAAGTTACATGCAGCAATACCAGGCTATGAGTATGCAACTGCTCTTGAACTTATTGCTTTGACTAGTTTCGAATCAAAGAAAAAATCAATGAATATTGACTTAGCAACAATTCTGAAATGTTGGCTAGCTCGAGATGCACATCAGAGCATTGAAGCGCATCTACCTCAACTTATACCACTTGATTATATCGATCGCATTTATATGTCACAGAATATCTTCGATTTATTAAATTCTAGAACACGTGAATTTATCAATACTACTTTCAAACATCGTATTATTAAAACGTCGCATGTAATTGAACTCGATCATGATGGAGGAACATTCGGCCCTAAACCGAATTCAAAAATTCGACAAGAATATCAAGATTTTGTTTTAAAACATATAATGGATAAATATGATCAACTTGATATTAATTCAATTTCAAGACCTATTCAAGGAACTATCATAACAATACCAGCAACTGACTTTAATGATCCTTTCGTTTTACCTTTAACTATTTCACAAGCATACCGACAGTATAAAATTGATCATCCACAAATATCAAATGATGATACAGTTTATATCTATTGGCAAACAATGAATGGCGATATGATGTTAACATTAGCGAATGAGGAAATTAACATAGGAGAGCAACAACCGAATCTACGTTGTTTAACATGCTATATAGCTGAAAAGCCTGCTACGAAAGATGTTCATTATCATGAAAATGTTTCGTATTTACATAGTGGAAGACCATTTCAACATGAAATTGTTATCGAAGAACAAAGATATGCGACTGCATCTAGATCCTTCTTCATTGGTTGTAATACAGATGATTTTATGACATTTTGCCTAGAAATTCAACGATCAACAGGGCGGGTCATCCTATCACATTCAGGTCCAAATTCAATTTATAATCATGAACAAATCTGCGCGACGTTTTCAAAATTTGATTTTGATCTAAATCAATTAAATTTCGTTCATGTTAGCTCTGGAGCTCATACAGTACCTATTCGAAATTTGATCGTTACTTTCGAGAAACATTCAGATCTACATCCAACTTCTGATTCAACTTTTGATAGACTTTCAACTTCGTCTGCAGCGCCCGTGTTGACTACTACGAAAGATACCACGGATGAGTCTGTAGTAGTAGTCAACATTCATGATACTCTGGATACCAAATCACCTAGTTTTTTTAGCCAAGTGGCAGATACAGTCGGTGCAGTGAAAGATAAATTTATAGGTTTGTTTCCTGGTGGTGCTCCAACAGTGTTAACACCATGTTCTGATGGCGTAAATTGCCTTATGCAATATTCTGACCGTGCAGCAATGCATAATTCAACATATTCACATCCGTGTCGCTTTTCTGAGCTTTGTCGAGATCATGAGCCTCATTTAACACATGAACCTCATAAAGTGCCTCGATGTGATTCAGATAGAAACTGTAAAGATCTATGCAATCCAATTCATCGAGCTGAATATCGTCACACGGGTCTGCCAGACTTTCTTATTCCTTGTCGTAATCAAGAAAAATGTCACCATCTAACAGATCAGCATCGTATTAGATATTCACATGGCGAACATATTGTGAAACCGATAAATAAAACACATGGAAAAGGTAAGCAAAATTACAATATTCGTATTCTGTTATGAAAATCTCTCTTTAGGTTCATCATCATCATCGTAACAAAACGATCTTCATAGAAAGCCTTGCAAATGGGGCACACAATGTCACGATCAAGCCAGTACTTATCGAATCAAATATTCTCATCCTGCCGTTTAATAAAATCAACATCTATTATCAAGTGTTTAAAATAATCAAGATAAATGTTGCAATCTCCAAAAATAAAAACAATATTCATTAGTTACACGTAACTGTTAAGAACATATGTAATTAAATGGATATTTGTTGATGATTAATAATAGAAAGAGAATTGTGGATGAAACATCAACTAAGTTTACGTCATAATTTGATTCTACACTGATCGTTCAAATCGATCAAAAGCAGAATAGAATGTAATGGATCAGATTGCTGATCTTCAATTGCTTGAATTCGAAATTAATCTAAATAGAATTTGATTATTTTATAATTCAAAGTAGCTAATTATCTTTACATTCACATGTTGTGCTATGGTCTGATCTGAATTCTATTATTTTAAAGAAATGGCTACGTACATTCAGGTGCACATAGCCAGGTTGTTGTATACGCGTAGGTGTACATAGTCGCATGGCTAAGTGCACTCAGAAGATAGAATCCATTTATCAAGAAATTTCCAGATACTATTAGCCTTGCATACTCATTATTATTAATATGAAATCGATATTTTAAATTTTTAAGAATTTTTCCCGCTAAATTGTTTCTTAAGATCAAGAAAAATACGAGTCAGGTGCTGCACAACCAAACGAATATATAACAAAAAAGCAAATTATCCCAATAAAGATTAATTAATGTAGAAACATTACCAGGTATCGCACGCTGACTCTTGAAAACAATGCATGCTGCTTTATTATCATCAGAATATTTAACAAAAGTTACATTCTATTAGCTTTCCCTTAATTACACCTTCCTTCCGTTGGTTGGTCATGAAAGATAAGAGTTTTTTTTCGTGATTAATTGGATTACAAAATGGAATATCGAAATGTATTGAAGCTAATTAACGTTCGACGTCGAAATATGTACTCTATTACGATACACTAATTAATGTTCGCTTGAAAATTTCCTTTAGTACTTTTTATTGACAATGAAAATCAAATATACACATTAAACAGTCTCATTTATAATCAGAAATAAACTATTATAGAACTAAATAACTGTAGCACTGTCAATACTTGAATCCATGGGTTTCAGTCCTACAACGATATGTTTATACTAGCATATTAGTTTTGACTCTTGTGTTAATGATTACCAGCCGATACTAGGCAGCAATAGACAAAAAATCGATCAGCGAGATAAATGTTCATTTCAAGCGGAAAAATGCCCTCAAGGAGATTATCCTTTTGTTTCGTTCTGTTGTCATACTATCACGTTGCTGTCTCGCTGATAACTGAGTTTAATAATGTGAGAGAAAAGAATACATAACAAAACTATATAAGTATAAGTCAGCGTGTGCATACTAAATTCATATCGAGTACTTTTGTCGTCACTGTTCAGAAAAGATATCCGTGCATATACAACATATTCCACGTTATACAGAACTTTACAAACACCAAATAGGACTAGTTTTCATTTTCATCTTCGTTCTTCACATTCCTTCTTTCCCAATGATTCATTGAAACCAAATTTCTTATAAGCTCTTTGAAATTCGTCACCCAACACTACAAAACCATGAGAGTTTTCGCTTACATGATAAATGATTTTCGGCATCCCATCTTCATGCAAATTTACCCATCATTGAATCTAACCGGCTGTAAATTTTTCCAACGTCCTTAATACCGTGCAAACTCCTGTATGTTCATTTCGATGATATACGAACGCATTTTTCTCTATAGGAAAAATGATATTTCATTGATCCATACTATTTTTCCCTTTGAGTTTTTTATTTTCCTGCTGCAAATTCATTTTTACAGTGGTTTGACGTTGTTGGGGAACGGGATGTTTTCGTTAGTGTTTTTTTGTTTAGTGTGCGTATCGTAAGTTTAGTTTTTAAGCATTTTTGACCTGAACACCATTTTTCCGCTTGAAACGAGCGTTTATGTCGCCGATCAAATATTTGTCTAATCCTCTCTGTACTCCTCGTTGTTTTCTCGCTGATATTTATTTCAGCCAAGGTTTTCTTCCCCGTTAAAACGATTGGCAAATTTTCCTACAACAACAGAACGCAAAAAGATTTTAGATATGCCTTGAATACGAAAAACGGATCCTCTCTTCTTTTTGTTCTGTATGCTTTCTACATATCAATACGACGACGAGCTGTAAATTGCGCTGCTTTTCTTTGATTGTCATCCTTTTATTTTTTCCCTCTGATATTGATTGTTTAATTGCAATTTCAGAAAGTAAATCACAAAAACGGTAAGAATCATGCCAAGATAAAAAAAACAAGGAAATTTATTGAAAATGAAATTTTCAATAGTGGCACTATTTAAGTTGTTTTGTTTTTCACAAATGTTTAAATCGAAATTAACAGTGGTTTGCAAAAACAAGTTGGATACGTAATTTTTACGATTGCTCCGATAGGCAACATTCTTTTGTGTTAGTTTTAGTATGTTTTGATAGCCCACAAAGAACACTACAAAATCATATTGTTTGATGACCTTTTCATTCCTCTTCACAATGAAAAATACAGAACAGAATTCAAAAAACCAATTGCACTTTTCTAAGGCTTTGCTTTTCGCTTTCTTTCAACTATCTAAATCCTTACTTGCTGAAATGATGTTCAATAAGCGTTTCTCATGATGAACACCAGTTTTAAGCACTTCCCTTAATTTTCCAATGAACTATGGCAATGGTCGATTTTGCCCGAATCCTGAATTTTTCGAAAATTTTCAAGACCTTTTATCTACGTTTTCAAATACTTAGGTTTGTTTTTCTTGTTTTAACATTGTACATCCGACGTGACCCTAATCTCTGATTGTTTCAACGGATAGCAGAGATCTATGTCGTAACCTGTTATCTTACAGTGCAATATTTTGTGACTTCAAATTTCTAGGATTATGTTCTGTATTTTTCCTGTGAAGAGGAATGGAAAGATCATACAATAATATCACTTTGTAGTGTTCTTTGTCGGCTATCAGGTCATACTAAAACTAACAAAAGTGAATGTTGCCTGTCGAGCCAGTGATAAAAACTACGCATTCAATATTTTTTGCAAACCACTGTAAATACCAAATACAAATCGGATGTAATTGCATCAAGCATGAATCAAAAATATAGAATCAATACTATTAGAATTTGAAAGTTTTAGAAGTTTTTTATTCCTTCTATTCCAATTTCGAGGCACCTACTGTGGACAAAGAAACGCATCGAAAAAATAATATCGGAAGACGCGTAGGAGAAAGTCAAATAAAACCTAATGCTTTCTAGTAGTAAGATTGACTATGATTTCATCGTACTTCTTCAATAATATTTCCACCAATGCTTCGTTTATTCGTTAATCTTAATGTAAGGAATTTCAGTTGACATATGATTTATTTTATTTGGTATTTTTCTTAAATATATTTAATATTAACTGATAAAACAATAATAACTAAGAGCGAACTCTATAAGCGTTCTTGACAAAGTCACAGCATAACGATTGTTGCGTTTTTAATCATTGAAAATGTTGATTTGATACTTTATTAAGCATAGCAATTATTGATTCAATGACATATCTGCTGCTAAATTAGTTCGTATGTGGCATCTATAGCTCTAAAATAAACTTTTCTTTACTGTTTTTCTTCATTTTCGAAAACTGATATCACATGTTAAAGTCAAAATTATCAAATTAAGATCGTTCTAAGAATAGAAAAGCTGTTGGTGTCCATCGGGAAAAACCGTTCAATAAGTAAAAATTCCATGTTTAACTGACTTGTGTATGCCCGAGAGGAATTTTCAATAGCGACCATTGCAGACAGAATCAAAATCTATAAAACACATGATAAGTTCGATGCACATGCTGTAGCTAAAATCTAATTTAGAGCCTTTTCTGTCCATAGTTGTTAATACGTGTACAGAGACATTATGCTATATCAGCATTGAGCAACAATAAATTTCAATTCTTATCATCATATCGAGTATTGAATTTGCTCATGCGGATGTGATTGCGTGATTTGAAAAATAGGCAGAAAACACAGAGAAAAAATCAGTTGTATGCATAAAGTCTATTTTACTCAATGATTTTAATCTGAATTTGTAGAGTACAGATTAAGAGTAAGTGACAGTGGTGTGCAAATCGAAGATCAACTCTAAATTTTCACTCCAATAGTTGTTGTTGCTATTATTTCGCTGTAAAAAATCAGAGTCAAATAATAAAGCCTTTTGATCGTATGTGAAAAACTTCATAAACCATTCAGCATTTTTAAAGAGCGCCAAAAAATTTTCAAGGATCGATGAGAATTTTCACATAGGATAAGAACAATTTATTATTCGTTGCATTTTCATAAACCTCTAATGGTTTATTATTTTGCTCTTATTTTTTACAAGGTTGCGGAAGGAAAATAGACCTGCAACGTGAGAAAATGTAAATGCAAAAAGCAACAATTTCGATGCCTTGATAGCGATGAAAATTTTTTGCTTCTTTTTTACTATCTAATCCATTCTTGAGGGTTTATGAATATTTCTAATACATTTGTCAAATTATTTGTCTACGTGAACCCTAAATGCATCGTTTGAGTTTTTGCCTATTCATATTTACGTACATTCTTGAACTTATTATTTGATCATCGATGTTAGTTTCATTGAAATAGGAGAGTTTAAAATAATACAAAGATGGCTTGAGTAAACTCCAATGTATTGCACTGCAATACAATTAGAGCTTCCAAATCAGCCTTACTTATTTTTATTCAGTTGGAGAATATGAATGAATTTCATCCTCCGGTTATCTTTCTCAATCCACTAATTCATCTTTAATTGATATCAAATGTTTACTTCTTTCGACTAATTTAATTGAAATTATTTTTCAAACTTAAAAAGAGAGAAGATAAAATATACCGTGAAAACATATTCATCAATATAATAAAAAGACAAAAAAAAACATATCAAACACAACAAAG